TATTCTGCAGTCAATGTCAACACGGCTGATTACGAAAATGATTCAAAGCATGTAATAATTGCCTTTCGTACTGTCAACATGACATGGGTTAACCGTCTTCGTATGTTTGAACCACGTCACCCACCGACCAATTGCAGTAACTCTTGGAGTCAACGATTACAATTGGTGCACAAAGGTGCTTATGCCATGCGTAATAACAGCTCATAACGCGGCATCCCATGCCGTTTTCGAGTGTTTTTACACTCCATTGAAATCAGTTATCATTGCAAAAGTTGCCTCCTCTAACTGGTTAATAGAATAACCTGCACCCAATTGCGACTGGCTGATAGGATTGTAGAAACTAATGCAGCCACATTCAGACAACTAATTCCAGCATCTTTTAGTGCCACGCCAACATTAATCGGCACAGTCAAAAACGACAGTAATACGTAGGATCGTCATCAACCGGAAGACCGAATTTAAACTACTTTCTACACAAATACGCAGCACTGCTACACTCGATGGCGTGATTCACAATATTCTAGCCATGGAACCGCAGATGTTAGTACAACTACTTAGCTGAACTGCTGGTAAAATGCCGAGTAAATGTACTAGGAATTTGAAAGCCACGTTAGTGAAAGGAGAAATTTCAGTTATGTAGGGAATCATTTATTGAAGATTATATCTCTCACACTGCGTAAGCAGTCATACAACGTCTATTTTGGCACGACCAATTCGTTATAATTAAAACGTTATTTTGTACTCCACGTGTGTGGGCCATGTAGGAGGCATGTCACATGAGCACCCCTCACCACAACGGCGTCACTTAAGTTACTTATGTGATAATTCATTTATGTGTGTGTTTGGCACGGTCGAAGCTGTACCTCTAAAACTGGAAGGTTCAATCCGCCAAAGGAAGATCAACTAGATTTAAAATGCTGATCTAATGAGGCGTGAGGATTAAATGTGAGGATGTTTTATTTATGAAGAACTAGGGGGGCATTTGCCCCAAAACAACAGATTTGTTTTCAAAGGTAGCGCTATTTTAATGTACAATCACAATAACGATTGGTTAATGAGGCAATAATTGGTGGAATTACACGTAGTCTAGATAAGGCCACACACACTATGGAACATTAAAATGCGACCAAGGGAACCTTCAAATCATCACAAATTCAGCGATAATTTTGTTAGGATAGGTGTTCATCTTCTTTCATCTTAATTCAACTTGCTTGCCAGATATGACGGTGGTTGGAAAATAGAATATTATAAGACTAGCTGCAAGACGTACCATCAATGCTCAATTACTGGTCAATTCACACTATTCTATAGTGACACATGTGTGTTCTTTGTTTGATGAGGTTCTTTGCGAAGGCACGTGAACGATATGTCATTTGTTAACCTGCACTCAATTTCAATTGGCTAATGGCGATGTAGACTCTAATGCAGTCAAATACAGAGAAGACATTGTAGCATCTATTAGTGATAAATCAACAACTGTCTCGAGAGTTGAGGACGACAATAATACTTTGCCTCGTCACCAAAAAAGGCCCAAATTCCGGCGATGTAACCGCACATTTTAATACAAGTAATTAGTTGCATTTCAAGGAAAACACAAGAAAATAAAACTAGGAATTTACAACTTACTTTAGCAACAATAGAAACATAACTGTAAAGGGAATCATTTGCATTTTCTGCATATCTCTATTAATGCAGACGACGGCTTGATCAAAAGAAAGTAATCAGGACAACTTGGCATCGATTCTGATGTGTCGAGCTTTGGGGTTGTCGCAACAAGTGTAATAACGACATAGAGGAAATACGCGCCCAAAATGTCCACTGTCGTGAATGCCATGGATGTAGACGAATCTGAGGTAAAGACAATACCAAACTTTGTTTACGCATTGTCTTAGGTAAACAATTAAGATGTGGTACTTTATCCGAACCTGCACACGATGTTCAGCTGTATGCACCAATTTTTTTATAAGTGTAAATCAGTACATAGGCAGGATCTGATGCAGTATGTGATGGGTGGTCAAGCTAGCATGGAGGAATTGGATGGATCGCGTTTGATATCTGTTTCTGGCCTGTAATTTGACACTACAGCTAGCTCCGTAATCCACGTCAATTTCATACTAAGGTTTTAGGAGTTAACTCTATAACGAAAATGTAAACAAAAGTAATAGTGCTTTTACAATTGGCTGATTTATTGTCCAAATATCACTTCATGCGTAAGCGGTGATAATTGGTGATGCATGTGAAACATCATATGGGTTTCTGCTCTTGAGATATAACGCACAATGTTAGCTTTGCCAAACGCGCACACGCTCAATCAAACAATATTAAAGAGGTCATTTGGAGTAGTGCCTTTTTGGTTAAGAATGCACATGTCACGCTACGACCTGAGAGGCAACAAGTCGAAAACGTGGGAAATTCGCAGCTCATTTTATTGTTGCTCCACGGCATCAAATGAAATTTTCGATTTACCTATTAAACTTATGCTAGATTATAACTGTCATGGACACAAATCCCTTGAATACTATTTTATAGTTAATGCTAATGTTTTAATCACTATAAGCAAATTTACGCGTGTGGTATAGTGTCTCCAAAATAATACTTTTCGTTAACTCGGCAGACGGGCGATTAGAATAAGTTCAAAAAGTCCTCCAACAGAATATCTTCGTGTGTGAGCAATTTGTTAATAAAAAACTTATTAATTTCGATGAGATGGAGCAACATCACGTGATGCATTAATAGCATAACAAGTTAACAGGGGAATGAAAATGGCTACTTCGTAACGCTCGTTCCCTGACTGAGGTATCTCTACATTTAAATTGTAATGATTAATAGAGAATAAAGCGATATAGATTCCAATGCGGTGTCTTCACTTACACTTGTCCTGATTCGTTTACTTTAGTGAAATTGTTGTTAACAGATACACAAGCTTTTAATTTTTCAGATGCAATTTTCTGGATGGATACAATCCTGATGGCCCTAATACCGTCCAATGAGCACAGATATCCTTTCGAATGGTAAGGTATTAAGGGTGAGTGGTGACTTAAGCGATATTAGAAAAAGATTTCAAACTGGTATTTGCGGGAATTTTAAGGGAATTTGATGGATCTGTTGATTCAGGCTCAGTAATTATTGGTGTTGCTATTGGTGTACCGGTTGGTTTTGAATCACATTGTGTTGATAAAACGTTTGTTGATAAACTAGATTGAGCCTCACTTTCGTTTGACTTTTTTAAGGTGAAGGTGTTGCATTCTGTCGGACCTCGCTGTTAGACTTTTGTTTTAGCAGCACTTGGCACTGTGCCAAGGCAGGAATATCCATTGTTTACACAAATCACTGAATTGCCAACACTGCCAAAATTAGCACATAAACAGCTGAGAGCATTGTGGAGTATTGTGAAATTAGCAGACATATCTGAAGCATTATGTGATTCAGGCTCAGTAGTGGTAGTAGTTGTTGATGGACTATTTGATGCTGATTCAGAAGATGTTCTTAGGAGTTCTTGTTTGCGGATTAAATTATACGGGTCGTATAATTCAAGCTAATTTGTGTTAAAGGCCGGATTTTAGCTTTGCTGAACACACACACGCTCAATCAATGAATTTGAAGATTACAGCTTTATTATAACAGCCCATACTCGCTAAAGAAATTGAGGCAAACTCATGCGGAGAAGACAATAGTCCTGTCTGTCCCTCGTAAATGATGGCATCAGTTGTCACCCGTGTGGCCTTTGTTTTTGGGTCTAAGAGGCATCGTAATTGCGGTGAAATTGATGACTTCTTTTTGACTGATTACAACATTCTCTTTGGCTCACAATGTGTGACCTTCTGTTCTATAGGAATTATTTTAGTCAACGATCGGTCCTATAATGTGATTTCTGTTGAGTGGCACATTTTCGTAAACCAAAAATATACCCTCATTTCTGCTATCATTTGCGGGTAGTTGAACAGGCACAGAGGTATGTGGTTGCTGTCTAGGAGCTAAAAAAACAAACTATTTTATTTAATATTACAGAAGGCATGAACAGAGACATTAAACATTTTATGAACAGACAGCTAATTCCCTACTAAATATGAAAACATATTTTTCTTGAAGTCTTCAACATTGATAATGTCCTTAAACAGGTTTCCGCTGATTCAGTTAATGCTGGAGGGCTGTGCAGAAACGGCGACTACTGACTCAAACACTGACGTTAATTGTGTTCCTTTAGTTTCTAATGATAATTCCCTTTGCAGAAGGTCAAATTATGTAAATAAGAACTCATATAAAATTGTGCTTTGAACATGCCCAAACCCAACTTGCTCTGTTGGATAGTCTTTTTCACAATCGGCTGCAAAACAATTCACACATCTTAATAATGGCAGTGAGAGGAATACTGCCAAACGCACATGCACACATGAAATGAAAGTAGACTGTTTCTTTTGACTTGAAGAGGATATTGGAAGTGGTGTCTTCATAGCTAAGGTTGCTCATATTTCCCACAACATGAGTATCCACAGGAGTCATTACGTCTGAAATTTACAGTTTAATTTGCTGCGCCACCTAATGACCAAACAAATTATTTCTGATCGTTAAGTTTGCGGCACAGGTAATTTGATTTTAGCAGCTATTCTTCAACAATTGTTGCGAAATGTTGTTAGCAGCGAGATGACCTATAGATCTCAGAGGAACACTACCCTTTCATAATAGTGCAGGAGATGAATCAAGCGATCAACTGTATATTGATGTCCTGTCCAGCTGTTTGCATTTTACTTTCTACAAAAATTTAACACATTAGGCTGGGTTGATAGAAGTGCGATTAGAGTCTGATATTTGCCTCATGGAAAGACGACAATGTTAGGTGCAGAACTCGTGGAACGCTTAACATTTTTCAGCTGCTCATTTATTACTGCATGCATTACCTCTGAATTGACAGATATACATATTCGTGTGCAGATGTAATCACAAGCAAAGCGCATTCTGGTCAGTTTTCGGTTCTTAAGCCATTTTCATGATCGTCGGTCAGACTAACCAGATGAAAACGTGTTTATCAAGCTATTGAGCCCGTTGTATCCGTGCATGTTGAAAGTCCACCTCTATAGCGGAAACATTTGAACTCCACCACAGAAGAATTTACTTTGGTGACCCAGAACATGTTAAATGCACACCAGTGTTTGCGGCCAGGTAAAACGATCTACCAAAATGTCGAATGGAAACACGTGAGTCCAGTGTGCGTAAGGGCGAACGTAGTCATCTTTAGTTTGTGTAAAATGCTATTTAGACTATTTTAGCTGACACTTCGAGTGTGTAATCTCCTCGTGGCATTGAAGGTGCTTTGTTGACATAATATGATCGACTGTTGAAAACTTTGAGGTCTACCTAAGCGTCTCACCGATCAAGCATATGTGTATGCCGACTTCAGGGATTTAAATATATTGATTAATTTACAAAACTCAAAAATGCACTCCTAAAATTTGTACTACTGGAAGCGATTTCTTAGCACATGTACCACGTATGACTGAAGTAAAATGCCCTCTGGTACCACGACTGACATATCTGCACTACTACAACAAACAGTCTTCCATTAATTAACATAAAATCAACACTGCCATTTTGCTTGTGAAAACATTTCTACTAAACATTTTTTATCAATTTTCGCGTTGAAATAATGCACGGCAATGCAATACGTTAAGAAAATTTAAATTGCTCAATTAACACAGGTGACAAGGTTAGCGTGATATACCAAAACCTGATATGCGCCATCTCAAAGCGTTTGTTCTTCGTGTTTGTGTTGACATTATTTGAGTCATTCAACACAGACGTTACATTTGAAAGCAAAATGCACGGTGACGGAAAGGCGAACACAAAGTAGGCATAGCATAAGATATCCCTTCAATGCCACATAGAATACCTGTGATGCCATTGCAGAAGCATGCCAAAGGCTGTGTTTTTAAATAAGTCTTTCTGTCGAACTTAGAATTGCCAAATATGACTGCACCTTCATGAATGGGGCGTTTGATGCACTAAACCAACAAACATGGAACCACAATAAAAAATGTCGGTTTAAAGGCTGGGGCAAACTTGAAGTGCGTCATAGGCGATACAGATTTCAATATCATGCCACACCTAGTATCGAATGCCACGTAGGATCAAGTTCTCAGATTGGCACCCTACTGCACTCTCCAATCCGCGCATTGGTCACATCGGGTATATATGCATTGTAGAAGTGAGCTGAACATTCATTGTTGAAGTAAGTTGGATTCAAATTTAAACAGTGTGTTTGAAGTACCACTATTTTATTAGCTTAAATGAAACGATGTGACTTTTTGCGTTGCAGAAATGATGAAGAAGCTGATATTTCTTCTTGCTCTGATATGGTGCTTAGCAGTCAATGGATCCTATTCATCATTGAAAGCTTTAGCAAAAACTAATCAAACTGTATACGGGGCATCAAGAAAAGACACTGCACCAACAACAACATCTTCAGCAGCACCAACAACAACTTCAGCAGCACCAACAACATCTTCAGCAGCACCAACAACATCTTCCGAAGCACCAACAACAACTTCAGCAGCACCAACAACATCTTCAGCAGCACCAACAACAACTTCAGCACCACCAACAACATCTTCAGCAGCACCAACAACATCTTCAGCAGCACCAACAACATCTTCAGCAGCACCAACAGCATCTTCA